GACCACTTTATGAAGTTGGTTCTCTCCTTCCTTCCTTCTTCTTTTTTTTTTTTTTTCCTCTTTTTGGGACATGATGTCTCTGTCGCTCCAGCAGGCCTGTAACTCACTGTGTAGACCAGGCTGGATCTCACAGAGATCCCCCAGCCTCTGCCTCCCTAGTGTTGGGATTAAAGGTGTGCTCTACCATGCCTAGTTTCTCCTTTCATCTTTATGTGGGTTCTGGAGATCAAACTCGAGTTGTTAGGCTTGGTGGCAAGGGTCCTTACCTGCTGAATCATCTCACTGGCCCCATATTCCTTGTTTTGAAACAGTAGTTTTGTTGGATTTTGTCTGTAATCATAGATATTTTTTTTTATTTTACCCCCAAATTTTGGGGATAATCAGTTTTTATCTTTTCATTATTAACAAGATAAACTACAGTAACTGACTTTTCTATCAGAGTATACTTGCATTCCTGAAATTCTCAACTTCATCTCTTTATTTTTTGTTTGTAGAGTGAATTTATGCTCATTTAAAATTTTTTTTTCGTTTTTTTTTCTTTTGGTTTGTAACTTGGTCGTTTTTATACCTTGTTGGATTCAGTTTCAAATATTTACTTTAGGATTTATATCCCTCATGAGTGAGGTTGCCTACAGTTTCCCCACAATTATTTTATTTTGGTATCAGCATCATGCTTGCCTCACAAAATGAATCAAACCCCGTACCTTTACTTCCATGCTCTGGAAGAATGTAAGCAGATTTAAAATTATTTGTTCTTGCTTGTTGGAATTCCCTGGCACAACTATCTGTGGCTGATGCTTAAAAAACTTTAAACTACTTAATATTTAAAAAATTATAGTATCAGCTAGGCATGATGGTACACACCTTTAATCTCAGCACTTGGGAAGCAGAGGCAGACAGACTCTCTGCAAGTTTGAGGCCTGCCAAAACTACATAGTGAGATCATTTCTCAAAAAGATTGTAGATAATTCCGGCTTTCTATTCATTTTTAATTGGTTTTGGTTTGAGTTGTGTCCCTCAATGTCTTCATTCATTTTATCTAAATTCATATGTATATATCATAAAGGGTTTTCCTATTCCTTTTATTATTTAACAAGCATTATCAGTGGAGCTGGTTGTAACTTTTTTTATTCCAATAGCTATTTGTTCAATGCTTCTCTTTTTCTAAGATTGATTTTTATTTATGTGAATGTAAGTGTATCTGTGTGTGTATGTGCGCATGCAGGTGCCCAGAGAAGCCATAAAAGGGCATCAGATCCCCTGAAGGTGGAGTTACAGGCAGTTATGAGCCACCTCCACCCCTTTTGGGTGCTGAGAATGGAACTCAAATCTTCTGCCATAGCAGCAAGTGCTCTTATCTGTCACTGCAGCCCCTATTTTTCTTTTTTCTTAATTGATATTTCCTAGTTGTCATTTTATGAAACTTATTAAAGAATCGGTTTGGAAGCTGTGCATAGTGGTGCACACTTGCAATCTCAGTACTCAGAAGATTGAGGTAGGAGGATGAAAAGTTTGAGGTCTGGGGTACTTATTAGAACCCTATCTTGAGAGAAAGAAAAAGAAGGGGGAAAGGGAGGAGGGACAGAGAGAGAAAAAGGCAATTTGGATATTTTAGATAACACTTTTATTTGTCTGTCGGCAGTTCTAGGGCTTTCTGTGTACCAAGCAAGCATTCTGCCCTCGACCTCTGAGCTCAATTGGGATTGAAATTATTT